GTAAATGAACTATATGAACATACAATGACCTAAAGCTGGTTTTAACCAGTAAATGAACTATATGAACATACAATGACCTAAAGCTGGTTTTAACCAGTAAATGAACTATATGAACATACAATGACCTAAAGCTGATTTTAAACCTTAGCTTGATGCCCTTACTCAGTGTAAAAAAAACATATAAGTTTATTATTTCCCTGTTTATATAATCAATATTACCCCCTCTTCGTGACACTCTTTATGCTGACAATTTGCATGCAGTCATTGGTCTAGAGTGTGACACAATAGTCCTCAGTAAGGAGAGGAACTAGACCCTGCCATTTTGGAAAATTCTGCTGTTGAATAATAAAAACAATAGAGTAGTGCAAATCTCGGGCATTATGTTGTGAATTGCATTCTCGCACCACAGTTTGTTTCTGTGGAAAACTATCACAGCATCATGCCCTTGATTCAACAACTCTAGTCTATTGTTTAATTATCAACTGATAATTCTAATAAAGCAGATATCAAGAGTTCAAAAACTATTACAATACCTCATGATCTTTATACTCCAATCATAAAGGTTGTCATCGTTTAATTGTACAGAATAATTCCCTGAATGAACAAAAACAACAKGAATATCACCAACATCAATTTAATGTTGCCTACTAAATAAATAGTCAGKCATATTGACTGGGGAACAATCAAACCAATATATCAGATGTTATAATTCAACAACAAATATTCCTCTGCTGTAAATGGTGGAGTCGACCACAAGAGGAGATAGTGGCCACCTCAGAGGGATGCTATCATTTCGTAGAGCTTGCAGCTTCAGAAACCTTTGTTGTTGAATGTCTTGAAAAATGTCAGATGATAAAGGTGCATACTGAGTAAACAACACATTCACTTTGAATGCACCTTATGGCCAATATTACCTGATTTGTAGCTGTCTGATTTGTAAAGATCTCTCAATTCTTTCATTAATCTGTCGGTAGCCTGGATTGATCCACAAACAGATCCCTAGTATGATAGATATACACAGTATATTAACTTACACTTACATCTTATTGACTAAACACCACAAGCATGGGAAAACACTGAAATATTAYCAGAGTATAATCAGTGTTTCAGAATCAGATTACCAGAGTACTAAATAACATGACCTTCTATGCAATTAAATGCTATAAGTAACATTTTAACTAAAAACTTATTTGAATTTTTTTAATACCTTTCTGATCACCTTGGGTTTAATTAGCAATTCATGATATGACTTTTTTGCTCACCTTCAAATGCTCCTCACGTCGACTCACTCTTAATTTCTCTAAAACAGCAAAATTTTCAGCTCCTATCTCGTCCACTTCTTTCTTTTCATCTTCACTGATRACACAAAACAAAAGAGGAACATACAACTTTACTTTAGTATTGTATGTTATGTTTACTTTTGTATGCTACAGTTTTTCTTTTTTTAAATATGCATTAATTCTCAATTGGCTTACAATGGTTATGTTCTAAACTTTTGAGCAATTTCTGTGTGTACTAGAGATTTATCAACCCATTTTCCAACAGTCTAACTGGTTGATCAACAGGTTAAAATKTGTTGGTTGCTGAATATAATAAACTAAAGATTTTTTGGCTTCTCAACCTGTTCTAGCATTTTTTAAAAATCAATTATAAGCTGTTGCGCTCTAACTGGTTGACCAAACCAATTAGTCACTGAGTGTTTTGGTTTCTCAACCTTTCAATTGGTTGTAACTGGCAGGGATTAATAGGTTGACCAAATGGTAACAGCACGTTGCAATTTTCGCCATTATTGTTGTGACAAGAAGCATGCAAAGCTCAAAGCGACTAAATTTATAAATGAACAAAAACACTTACTCAACTTCTTCATCCATTTCATAGTTATCTGAATCTTCACTTTCTTCTTCATTATCCTGACAAAAACAGTTAGTTTTAGGCTGCCCAACTATTGCTTGAGTGAAAGGAAAGAACGAATGCAAGAGCATTTATGTTTATCGGCACTCTAAGCAAAACTTGTCACAGACTAGTATACAACCCGTGAGGCATGGGATAATGACTTAGCACCACAGGTAATCCATAAATCSAAAGTAAATCAAGCGAAGAATAAGATGAATAAAGCATGGGCTTGCGGTTTTGTTGTTATGTTTTTGCTTTTTTTCGTGTTTATTCATCAATATAATTTTATGAATTAATAAAATACAATAAAGTACAGAAAATAATTACATAAATAGAGAATGCAAGAGGTGGGCTGCCTTTGTTTAGTAATTGTAAATTTTCTCAATAATCCAGTTTCGAATTCTCCAATACTCTGTGTTAGCCTCATGTGTGCGCAAAATATTCCTAATTGTGAGAATAAAGGTGTGAGATTTCAAATAAATTCTATTGTCTTTCTTTTTAAATTCCATGCATTTTCTCGCGCTATCAATGAAACAAAAGAATATGTTACTTGGTTTTGAGGCGAACACAGAGCAATCCAGAACTCGAAATCGGAGTATTTCTGATTGTCATGGTAAGTACATTTGTACATATCATGGGTTGCAAAATTGTTCGTTTTTTTGGGATTGCTACATGTATCTAATTGTTGAATATTTTGGTAGTAAAAAACAAAGTCAAAATTTTTGTKTATAAATAATAATTGTTGAGTAAGATGGTGAAATAAGAAACTATCAGAAATTTGTTAAATTTTGGACTTCATGTGTGAAATTTTGGATAGATGTCTAATGTTTGAACTGTTCATGGATGCCATATTTACCTCCTCTAGTCCTTCATCTTCACTATCATCTACATCCATTTGTGCTGTTGTACTATTTGACTCATCCTGAATTAAATATCAACATTTTAGGTTAAATACCTCACTGGTTCGCTATCTCAGATTATCAGCCAATAATYACCTTGATGAACATAATGGTGTAAGAGTGGTTTCACTTCAAAGTTTTGCACATYTTTGGCATCATTTTCATTGTCAATAATTATAATACTGATAATTCAAAACTTAGCACATGCTATTTTGTCCCCTTTTATTCACAATTTGAGAGTAGTTCCAGAAAATATCCATATCCCTACAATTTAAAAGCATTTTGAAAATTCAGATCCAAATGTGGAAAGGGAGTTCTTCCATATTAGAATTCCAAAGGGGAGCAGGGCTTAAATTCCAAAGGGGAGCAGGGCTTAAATTCCAAAGAAGAGGAGACCAGTTTGACACATAGATCATAATATAATTTTTGAATACTACCATCATGCGATAGTTGATCTCCAGTCGATGTAGGGGAACTGAGTTTGGGACATTTCCTGGGTAGAGGGGGTCTAAACATCAATGCTACCCATTGTACTGACGTAAGGGTATGGACATTTTCTGGAACTATTAATAAAAAAAACATTCTCAAAAAATAACCAACAAAATCATTGATAAGCTACTTCCTGTATGTCATGCATCTTTCCATAAATAATCAATCTATAGACTTAAAATAAACTGAAAATATAAAACAGATGATTCCTGATTAATGTATCATTTCATGTTTTGGAGAGATTCATCCATACATCAGTGCCAAAATAAATTTGTATTATAAATGCATGACTTCTTCTTGATTCTAATTTTTAATAAGTACAAAAAAATGGTAATTTAATAAAAAAACTTGTCAGAAATACTGACTTTCAATTTTGTTTTCTTTGTTTCATTTTCCTTTGTTTCCAAAAAAAACATGGATTAATTGTCAAAAAATGGCCACATGAACATTTTATTGAAGAACTCCATATCAAYTGCTGTCCAACATTTTTCCTTATTGGGCATTACTTTGACAAATCACATGGAGGTAGAGGATATGACCAAACCATATGTCTACTATGTAATGTGCAAATTTACATATCAATCATGCAACAAAAAGAGCAAAAAAGAAATGGACCAAAATATTCAGAAGGATAAAATAGCGTTTATTACAGAAAAATTTGCATTAAGTCTTGATTTCTAAAAAAAATAAAGATGAAAACTTTGTCTATTRTGAAATATCATAAAGTTAAGCTAAATTTTAATGAACAGGAASCAAGTAGTCATGTAAGAGAATACTTTCAAGAACCGTTGCCATACTAGCTATAAAAAATCAGCATGATAACTATTTACATGGCTTTTWAGTTGGTTCTAAAAATTGATAATAAAAAGTCGACAATAAAAGCCGAACCTACTGATAACTGAAGGTAAAATATAAGGAAAATTGCTTCTGCTAGCAATGACCCATAACTTTTATTTTGTAGTAAGAACTACTTATATTATAACACAGTTATAGCAGTTTTAAACATTACCTCGATGATTTGTATGGACGTTAAATTGTCAATATTTGGAGGAAGAGGAATTTTTTGAGCCTTGAACAAATCCGTGATTAGATGTTGTGTTGCTCGTAGAAGCTGAAACGCAAGGCAATCAAATACTTATATAACTTAAGAAAAATCTTTTTACCGTTCTTTTCATCGTTCATTTTGACTGCTTCATTATATAATGTGCGTAGTAACTACACCACAAGGGAGCAACTTACCAGTTTCGGTTTTGAAGGTTCAACAGTGTCAGTCAGCGACTCCACTATTTGGTTGATTGTTGAGTCCTCGCTTTCACTAAACCACATTGGTGGTTGTTCGGGATAAGATTCCTAAATGAGAGATATTTCCAACATAACTAAGGCTTGCTTAAGTAATACTTCAAGGCAAAGAATTGGAATTGATAAACACAAAAATAAGCACAGAGTATGCATGCAAGAGCAGTATAATACCGAGATATTGCAGTGAATAMCATGTTCGACATTGGTGCAAGGACACACAAAACAGCAAATAATCTCATCTAAGCCATTGGAGGACACGCGAAATCTCTCATTATCAGGCCCAAAGGTCTTCTCCAAGACAGAAATTTCTTTCTTGAGTTCTTGGAATCTAGACATTTGCCTAGTTWGGGCACAAAAAGCTCGCTTCACGAAGTGTTTTCCCCCATCGATCAACAAATAAGCGTTTTCGTGGCCTCGTTTGGGAACACCGCTGGACACAATAAAATTCCAGCCATACCAACGACCGCAGTCGGACACACTCGGGATGTGAGTAATACTCGATTTATCATTTTGTGCAAAGCTCTTACTGTTCTTCAAGCTTTTCTGCAATTCAATAAACACATCATACTTTTAATTTCGTCGAGGACCAATGTTAAGGATCAAAAGAAATGTGAAACTAATAAAGAATGGACGAAAATTCCGTTCCAACATCGGAGTTCCTTCGGATTTTCCCGGAATACGAACCCTCGCGAAGTCCATGTTGGGTATGCTTGTCTGTTCTTGACTTCTATTACATTATTGTGAATTACATTCTGTTGTGATTGTTTACTTAAATTCGCATTTTTCAAAATTGATCGAATTTGACGAGAAATATGACCGAATTCAAAACATGAATATGAAAACATGATATAGAAATATAGGAAAGGAATAGTTCTTAGAAGGAGGTTATTCCGGRAGAAAGACCCTTAGAAATAAATTCTCGGAAAAACTATTTCCGACCTCACTGGGATRGACTGTTTACGGACTTTGTCCGGATGTGCATGACGCAGGCTAAAGTATTAGTAGTGMTGGAATGTTAAGGGACAGGAATAACTTTTTAAATGTTTTATTAGACTTAGTTATAACACGAAAATGATTCAAGAATTATTAACAAAAGTTTGCRMMTGTATTTTGTACGATATGTACAATCCCGGGTTTTTATCGTTAATTACGAGGCAACATCGCTAGAGTGCAAACAATATATCCGTGCAACACTAAATTAAAATAGTGAAATTTAGTAACATTTAGTGAAAAATAGTCGAAGCGTAAATATAGAGTGCAAACATTATAAATGTGTGCAATACTTTCCACTATTTACTACAAAATAGTGTTAATTAAACAATAGAAAACAATAAATTTAGCATAATTTAGCAATAAATATTTAGTGGTATTTATGTTGCACAGTTTTAGTGTTTGTACTCTACTGTGTCTTGATATTGGTTATTTTTACTTTAACCTAACAATGTCTTCTGTCTTGATTTTGCTGCATGCGACGCTGAGAATAAAGATTCTTAAACGCGTTTCCTTGGGTATTGTGTGGTTATTTTAGCTTTATAGACGTGTCTTTTGTGTCTTGATTTTTCAGCAGCGCAAACAAATAGAGATTCTTAAACGCGTTTTCTTGTGYATTGTAGTTATTTTTTTAGATTTTGATTGTGTCTTTTGTCGTTTTTGCGGCAGCAGCACAAAGGAATAAAGGCTCTGAAATCATTTTACTTGCGTTTTGTTATTATTTTAGATTTTTTCGTTWTGATTTTGTACCTGCAATCGGTGATAAGCTTCACCTATAAGGGCATGCTGTGCCATTTGACAACGACTACTGGACTATTTAAAGTTCAGCTATTCCGTTTGACTTCGGCTTCTATCCCATTCGATAGTTGGCCGCACCAATCAACATTGACTGCTAGCCCATTCAAGGTCAAGTTAGTCCGTTCGACGAACATGGCTAGCCCGTTCAAGGTCAAGCTAGTCCGTTTGACGAACATAGCTAGCCCATTCAAGGTTAACGGCTAGTCCGTTCGACGAACAAGGCTAGCCCGTTCAAGATCAATCTAGTCCGTTTGACGAACATAGCTAGGCCGTTCAAGGTGAAGCTAGTCCGTTTGACGTACATAGCTA